CAATGCACTCCAGTCTGGGCGGCAGAGTGAGACGCCAACTCAAAAAAAAAAAAAAAGAAATGTGGTCTCACCAAGTTGTCCAGGCTGGTCTTGGACCCTGGGCTCAGGCAATCCTCTTGGCCCACCGCTGGGATTACAAGTCACCACGCCCTGCCCAACTGGTTTGTAATGAAGGAAAGCAAGGAAATTCATAAATCACATTTTGATCAAGTAATACATTCCTAGAGTTGTTTAATGACTTGGCCTAATCAGAGTGATTTATTATACATTTGAAAGTATGTTGCTTAATATTCTTTTGTGTGAAATCCAAATTAATCTTCGTTGCTAAAGTATGTAATCAAAGCCAAAGCCTTCAAACAGTTTGCTTTGGGAAAAGCAAAAAACAAAACAAAATAACCTCCTTCATCCATGCTTTTTTTTTTTTTTTTTTGCAAAACATCTTCATTGTCTAGAAATATGTATAAAAAACCCCACAAAAGATGCTATTCCCTCATTTCCCCATCTTCTTCCTCTTCCTCAGCACCTCTGATACACCTTATTAAAACTTCACCCAGGTGTCTAGACAATGCTCCGTCTATGTATTCTTCTGTGTTTGCAAGCTGTGTGTTCATATAACTGTCCACAGACACTAGGTAGCCCTTGTACTCCATCCTCCACTTGGGCTTTATCATCACCTGCTTCCCCGTGAGTTCGTTGAGGAAAGGCTTCGGGTTGTGAGTAAACTCCTTGTCACTGTGGGCCCATTATTCACCACTGACTGGTCTTCCCCTCATCCCTCTGACTGCAGCAGGACTGCTGGTCAGAGCCTCCTCCAGGCTTGCAGAGAAGTGACTGCCGCACACCATGTGACCTTTCACCTGCTTTTGCAATTATCTTTCTTTACTACTTTCTTTACTCTTGATCCTTAGCATATCGTGTGTGTGTGTGTGTGTGTGTGTGTGTGTATACACACACACACACACACATGTATATATAGTCTTGGTTTTTTGTATTTAAAAAATGATGGTATAGACCTGTGTTATTTCATGTGTAAGTTGAAGATAAAAAGATAACACTTAAGTCATCAGCCTTTTCTCGCTTTTTTTTTGTTTTTTTCTTGATTGCTTGACTGATTGGGGATACTGGGTCTTTCTATGTTTTCCAGGCTGGTCTCAAACTCCTGGCCTCAAGCAGTCCTCCTACCTTGGCCTCCCAAAGTACTGAGATTACAGATGTGAGCCATTGTCCTGTCCATCCCTTTTCTCTTATTCAGAAAAAGTATATTGCTATGTGGCTAAATCCAGGAATTATGGAGCTCATCTCTTTGTTGGTGGTATAGTGACCATGCTAGGAAAGAGCTTGCATGTCCCTGATGAAGTGATTAGACTGATCAGCTGAGTGTTTGTTGTAGGTTGAGTTTTAGTGCCCTTCATGTGTTTCTTTTGCATTTATTTTGTATCGTAGCATGATAATCCAGGAGCAGCTTCTGGTTTTTTTTTTAGATTAGAAAATATAGTTTATTCAAAGTATATTAGAGAGAGAGAGCAAAAGAGATGATTCACCCCTCCCCCCCCTCCCGGGTTGGGGGAGGTAGGCCAAACCCAGGAAGCATGGTGACAGCCATAGCTCAAAGAGCACGTGACCACACCAGAGTCTAGCAAGGCAATGGCCCAGGAGCTTCTTGATAAAAATAATAGCCTTGGTTTTTCACAGGAAGATACTAGTCCATTCTACAAAATTAGCACTTGTATTGTGGCTTATAATACTCCTGAAGACAGCTGGAGTTGTAGAACAAACTTTACTAGAAAAATCATGTGTACAGATAAAACTTTTCCTTCGAAATACAGAGGAACTAGAAACTGTCACTTAATTCCATCTGTAAGCAATATGCTCATAAAGAAGTATGATAAAGACTGATTAAGAATTCTATACACATTTCAAAATTGGCAGGCAAATTGTAAAATTAATGTGACATTGTATTCTAGACCAAAGGAAAGTTACGTCTTTTGAACACTAGACTTGAACAACCTTTTCAAGTGTTACCAACAGCAAGCTCATCTGCTTGTTGCTTGTCATTCAAAATAAGCACAAGACGTAGTGAAAGAAAGACGATTTTATTCCAAAAGGTGGCAGATAGGGAAATGGTCAGGCTCATGCCTGAGAAAAAACCATTTCAGCATTTTAGTGATTTGGGCTGAGGGTAAGGGTTTTGTTTCGTTTTGTTTTTAAGTTGGAGTCTCACTTTGTTGCTCAGGCTGGAGTACAGTAGGACAATTACAGTTCACTGAGCCTCAACCTTCTGGGCTCAGGTGATCCTTCCACCTCAGCCTCCCAAGTAGTTGAGACTACAGGTGTGTGCCACGATGCCTGGCTGATCTTTTGATTTTTTTTGTATAGACGAGGCCTCACTAGTTGCCTAGACTGGCCTCATACTCCTGACCTCAAGCAGCCCTCCTGCCTTGGCCTCCCAAAGAGCTGGGATTCTAGGCATGAGCTGCTGTGTCCATTTGAGGGTAAAGGTTTAAGGGAAGCTTGACTACTTGGAAGGCTGAGGCGGAAGGATTGCCTAAGCCCAGCAGGTCGAGGCTGTGGTGGCTGTGAGCGTGTCACTACACTCCAACCTGGGCGACAAAAGTGAGACTCAAACTCAATAAAAAAAAAAGGAAAGCCCGGTGTGAGAAACATGTGGGGGTGATACATGAGCATCAGTCTATGTGACTTGTTCCCACAACTATCTTAATTGTCCATCTGGGTATCTGACTGGTGTCATCTTGACTGCGTTGGCACCTATGTTTCTGATGGCTGTGTAATCGAGGCTTAGGCTTAGTCTAAGATTAACCTCCGAAGTTCTCTAGAACCTGGTTGGCCTTACTGTGATTGTGAATGGATTATAGATTAACTGTCTCAACACCTTCCCTAACCAAGGAGAGTGTCACAGCCGGGCCTTCATGTCCAGGTTACTTTAAGGTGATCCCTTAGAATTTCTTTTTTTTTTTTAATTAGAGTCTTACTTTGTTGCTCATGTTGCCCATGCTGGAGCTCATGTACCATAGCCTTGACCTACTGGGCTTAGGCAATCCTTCTGCTTCTGCTTTCCAAGTAGCTGGAACTATAGATGTATGCCACTATGCCCAGCTAATGTTTTGATTTGTTGTAGAGATGAGGTCTTACCATGTTGCCCAGGCTAGTCTCAAATCTGTGGGCTCAGGCAGTCCTCTTGCCTCCGCCTCCCAAAGTGCTGGGATTATAGGTATGAGCCACCGTGCCCAGCCAAGCCCTTGGAATTTCTATGAAAGCATAGGGTTAGATAAGTATCACAGTGTCAGGGAGGAGGGGAGGAAGACAAAGGAATCATCATAGTGTCAAGGAGGAGGAGAGGAGGAAAAAAATGTTTAAAGTACAATTTTAAAGCAGGAGCTAAAGAAGAGTGTGTAGAATACATTTTTTTTCCTTTTTTTTTGAGTTGGAGTCTCACTGTGTTGCCCAGACTGGAGTGCAGTGGCCACTTCTGGCCACCACAGCCTCGACCTGCTGGGCTCCGGCAATCTTTACGCCTCAGCCTTCCAAGTAGCTGGAACTACAGGCGCGCACCACCACGCCCAGCTAATTTTTTGATTTATTGTAGAGACGAGGTCTCGTCAAGTTGCCCAGGCGGTTCTTGAACCCACGGGCTCAGGCAATCCACTCACCTCGGCCTCCCAAAGTGCTGGGATTATAGGCTGAGCCACCGAACCCGGCCTAGAATACATTTTAAGACCAAAATTTTCACCCTGATATTTGAGACTGGTGTAAACACACTGAATGTCTTATTTAAGCACTTGGTTAATAATACCTAGGTACCATGCATAATATTAATTAACAACACAGGTTACCACCTACAAGTCTTCTCATAGTGACTATCAGATAAATATACACACTTCTTAAGAAGAAAAACAGAAGAGGGATTACTTAAGTGTTCTGGCATACACAGTATGACAATTAAGTTTGCGAACTTGCCACTATGTGAACTTGCCACCATGCATGTGCACTGGCAGCACTGAACAAACAACTCGGTAAGTTGGTAAGGTTTTATAACTTTGGCGTGTCTGTATCAAACAACTGTGTTTGTGTCAACATATGGTGGTGTGTTGCTGAGTGATGTTCTTTATTTTTGTGTACCACTGTGAGAATGTCAGAGCTTGAATTAGGGCAACAAACAAACATTAAATTTCGTATTAAACTTGGCAAAAGCCAGGTGTGGAGGCTCACACCTATAGTCTTAGCACTTTGGGAGGCTGAGGTGAGAGGATTGCCTGAACCCATGGGTTTGAGATCAGCCCGGACAACTTGGCAAGACCTCATCTTTACAATAAATCAAAACATTAGCCAGGTATGGTGTCACATGACTGTAGTTCCAGCTGTTTGGAAGACTAAGGCAGAAGGATCGCCTGAGCCTAGCAGGTCGAGGCTGCGGTGGCCAGGAGTGTGCCACTCCCTCCAGCTTTGGTGACAGAATGAGACTCCAACTCAAAAAAATAAATAAACAAATAAAATAATAAATAAATAAATAAACTTGACAAGAGTGGAAATGAAATCAGGGACATGTTAGTCCAAGTTTATGGGGGTAATATCATGAAAAAAAATGGCAATGTATAAATGGATTAAGTGTTTTTCTAAGGGGAGAGAAAGCATCACTGAAGAAGAGAGGTCAGGATGGCCAGTAACAAGCAGAGCTGATGAAAACATTGCAAAAATTCATCGAATTGTGTGTCAAAATTGTCAGCTGACTGTGAGAAGCATAGCAGACCAAATAAACATTGCTAGAGAAACAGGAAAATCTTAACTAAAAATCTTTGCGTGAGAAAGGTGTGACCCTAAGAAGCTCTTGCATAACAGCAACATACCAGCTCACACAACACTGTCTGTGAGGGAGATTTTTTTTTCTTTGAGTTGGACTCTTACTCTGTCACCCAGACTGGAGTGCAGTGGCCACTCCTGGCCACTGCAGCCTTGACCTGCTGGGCTCCAGCGATCCTTCTGCCTCAGCCTTCCCAGTAGCTGGAACTACAGGCACGCGCTACCATGCCCGGCTAATTTTTTTGTTTGTTTGTTTTTGTTTTTTTGAGTTGGAGTCTCACTCTGTCACCCAGACTGGAGTACAGTGGCACGCTCCCAGCCACTGCAACCTCGACCTGCTGGGCTTTGGCGATCCTTCTGCCTCAGCCTTCCAAATGGCCGGAACTACAGGTGCGCGCTACCACGCCTGACTAATTTTTTATTTATTGTAGAGATGAGGTCTTGCCAGTTTGCCCAGGCGGGTTTTGAACCCGCGGGCTCAGGCAATCCACTCACCTCAGCCTCCCAAAG